GAGGCCGAGCAGGTTCCGGGCGCGGGGAGGGGAGACCGCGGAGCACCGCCCGGAACGGGCCTGGAGGGGCGGAGCCCCTGGCAATGAAACGGCACCTGGGGGCAAAAGGCGGCTGCAATATGATTTGCATTTTAATCCGTAAGAGAGTATACAGTCCCCTTTACATTTCTCTGAAGAAATCCAGGCAACTCGTTAACGCTGCAGAGTGGTTTTACTGTAACAGATTCCATCACCTACCATTAATCTTTGATAAGTGGTTCCTGTATGTTTAAGGCTTCCTGTTACAGCACGACAACATCAGCCAGAGGCTGCAGACCACCCTCAGAGGAAACACCTGGCAACACTGGGTCACAGTACGGAACTGCTACAGCTACAGAAATACCTACAAGCACAGGTATAGGACACAGGTCGAGCTGTATGTGCCACACTCACACACTTCTTCCACTGGGATGCTTTATTTTCCCCTAAAGCTACAAAGTCATATGACTTTACGCATGAGGATACCACAGGGAGGTTCTTTCTCTGGCATTTATATTAATACAAATGAAAGGCCATGGCTGTACAGACAATCCACATCTTGGTTCCGAAGTCTGCATCAATATGTAAACAGGTGTGTTTCCTTATTACATATTATTGTAAGGATGAATCAATTAGAAAACACTGGGGAGAGTAAGACCTAATACACACCCATTTTTTATACACAATGTACATACATTCTACAATGTATCTATTTATGTGTCAGGTAGTCATAATATATATGATAAAAAACCTACATAATACTTCCCAAGCATCAATCATGGTTGTAAAAATTTTTTTTCATCTTTACTCAGCCTGCAAAATCCAAATGTTACCACCTCTGGAACAGCTGCTTTATATGTAATGTCCAAAGTCAGGCACCAGATAGTAACATATGGTGTATCAGAGTCAAGTAAATTACAAGTGTTACAAGGCAAAAAACCCCAGACAGAGAGAGAGAGGAAGTTCTTAACAGGAAATGACTGGTTCGTTCAGAATCATTATCTCACAATGCCTCATATCCTCTTCCTGGGAATTATACAGCCCATTCTACAAACTAAATATGCATTCTCTCATTGCATGTACTTAACCACTCAGTACCAGTGGAGAGTGGGAAAGGGGAAGCCCTGTGCTATTATAAATACATAGACTCATAGTTTATTCACAGAAAGAAACTGCAAAGTAGAATTTTACATCAGTACCTGTTTAGTGTTAAAAAAACCCAAACATATGCATATTGCCTCAACTGTGTAGATTTTTCATGTGGAAAGAGAGTAGGCTGCTATGTGAATTCATGGCAAACTCACTCAGTACTGACCTTCTTCAGTCAGATTTGATCCTCTTACCATTTTTATGGCCAGTCCCAACTGCTGATTATCTATCCCTTAGCAACAGCTTGCCAGCCAAATTACTGTTCTAGCACTGTTTTTGAAACCAGTATGGTTAAAAGCAGTAATAATATCCTTATAAATACCTACTATATTGTATTTCTATACTGAAATAGGTTATTTCCCTCAAATTCAGTTACACTGGGACAAGCCCTTTTACATTAGCAGAACTATTTCAGCTCTGAGAGGCTGTATGATTTAACTGTTTTAACAAAGGGTCTTTGTAAATTACTAGTTAAATTACTAGTAATTACTAGTAAAAGTCTCAGGAATGAGAAAGGCCGAGTCACAAACACAGGAGGGAAAGAAATTTTTTTATTATTATTTTTAAAAAGTATAAAAATCCTGTACATTTGACAAAAGCTTTTAAAATCAGTCACAGGAAACTGCTGGGCTACTCCATTTCCTTTCTGTAAAATAAAAGCCATCAGGCAGTTGAACAGTTTGTCACTAATCTGACTAAACACACTGGCCTTGAAATTTAATACTAAATGCCAACTGAAGTATTCTGGTCCATTTCACTTGAAACAAAAATCAAAAGAATTATTTTCTCCTCTGCTTTTAGCTGTTCAAATATGCAAGCTTTTTTTATAGTTTGGCAGTTCAGTAAAATACCTCATGGTTTAAATGCTATAGAAATGCATGAAATTTCTACACACTATTTCTACAAATATGCATGTACAAGGAAGGAGAAGTCTTAATTTATGAGGAGTTCTTAACATTCAAAATACAGCATGATTTTAGTTTTTTTGTACGGGCATATCCTTGTATGTCAGACAACATACCGGTGTCTTTTTCAGGCAACAACAGTGCTAAAACCAATTTAGTTGTTAAAGAAGGTTACAGGTTAAACTCTGCCAGTCACCATTCATACTCCTCACTTGCCAACAACCCAAGCAGAGCAAAACATAAACTACCAGTAATACTCATCGGAGATATCAACTATCCTCAGCCAGAATTTCCGGATATTCTTCCCAGAACTGGTCCCCAATAATGTCACAGTGCAGGGGAACAACTTTAGTCCTAGTCCGGGTCACTTCAACTTCCTTTTCTTCTGCTTCCTTTGGCAGTTTTATTTTCTTAGTCCTGACTTCATTAGTCTGAAAATACAGTTCACACATTAGCAGACATATAAGACTCCAGAGGGGATTCACAAATGGACAAGAAACAAAGCTACAACAAAACCAACTATCAACCCTATAGCATACCACAGAATTTGAACACTGAATCTTTTGAAAGAGAATCTATTCTCAATTTAAAGACTGATGCATGAGCAATTGAAACTGCCGGTCATCATCACATGGCTTGAAGACTTTACCTGCAAATTCACAAGTATTCTTGAATAAAGTACAATATTTAATTTGGAGATACATAAGGCAAATGGGAAACCCTGCAAATGTCTACAATTACCAAGAAAAAATATGCATAAGGAACAAGTGGAATATATTACCAGGTGGGAGCCTCTCTCTGTTCTGATTAGTTCAATGACATAATCCTACAATGATGAACATTTCTAAGTTACCATTGAAAGGAATTCCTCATTAACAGCTGCACTCCTTACTATGCTCCTTTACAGAAGTAGAAAGCGACTAAGCATACTATGAACTGAGCTACTTTACTGAATGAAAGTTCCTAGTTTCTTTGCAGTGGAAATAGTTGGGATCTAACCCTGTGAAGGGCCTGGCACAGGCCCCAGCGATTACCATATCAAACTGACAACGGTCATTAAAATATAATTTTTTAGGAAGCAGAATACTTCCTCAATTTTCAAAGCTGGTAATGCTAAGAAATTGACTGTATGATTCATTAAACAAGGGAGATTTATCTAGCAAATACATCAGTCTTGTGAAATTCTACATTTACATTGTCATCTGCTGATACACATTTTATCTCAACGGTCATAATTTGTATCTAAGCCAGATTTCAGAGACTAGTTTTTATACTATGCTCATAGATACAGATATCTCAAAAACATCTCCAAAACAGTTAGTCATCTTACACATCATTATATGGCAAATATGGTTAGTTTTAAAATATATTTATACATAGAAATACATTTGGGATACACCTGGTGATCTTACAGTGTAGCTTGTCCGCCCTTGAGTGCCTATTTAAAACGTGAGCATGAAGCAAATGGTAATATAGGGGGTTTTTACCTTCTGCCATATTAGGACAGTTCCTTTTCTATACATCAAAGGTTCATTGTTGTAGTTGATGTTGAATTCAGAAAATAAGATTTCGTTCTTATCTCCAGCCAGAGTTCCCTGAGAGGAAATGAAAAGAAAAAGCACTCTTACAGAAAACAAACAAACTGAATCCCTAGGGTAGATGGGTGAATATTGGAAGTAAGACTGACAATTATACAGGTTTTCATCTTTCAATTACAATATTTACATCTCACAACAGAGAAATTATTTGCAACTGCCAAATCAGGATATTGAAACAGAGACGCTTTTTATTACATTTTCAAGACAAACAGAAGAAACTCAACAGACTCCAGGAGAAAACAGAAATAATCTGCTGAAGTGACTGGGAATCAGTAGTAGATGAATCCTGCCATCATACTTCATGCAAATGGATACTGGATGTTTATATGACATGATTTCTGACCTTGCTAATTGAGAAATCAAAATCCTGCTAAGAATTTGATCAAAAAAACCATCATTTGCTAATCGTATTAACATCTGTACAATTCAAGAAGTTGCTGAATCTACACCTGCAAAATTATTACAGTAAGAACAGACAAGCCAGCCAGGGCTGCTGGGTCAGCAATACACAGCTTAGCAAATCTTACGCTTTTCTTTGTAGCGAGAAAAAAACCATGACTTCAAGAGGGTCTTACCTGGAGTCTATCCTGTGCTTGCACTGGTGTCAAACCACTTCGCTGTACAAGCATCCAAAACACTGTATTATAAAGATTATTAATATGGCCTGCAGAAAAAAGAGTGAGAGAAAGAGTATTTAGCAAATGTGAGTGACAGCTTAGAAAAAAACATTATTTGCAGTCATATCCAAGCAACAGTCAAGAATAAAGGGGAATTAATATTATCAGATACAATCTTTCTGATCCATTTTTAAAGTACTGCATATTGTAAGAATGACTAGAAGACAGATTTCCGTATAATTCTGAAAAGGGAGTGCAGAGAGTGAAGGCTGTTCATGTGTAACATAAATTATCTTCATTTGAGTAACAGTGACTAGGTACTAACAAAAGCCTAGAAATTAAATCCAGCGGTCTGTTCTAGCATGGAATATACGGCAATTTTGACTGCTCCAATTTTGCTATATGGTGTGAATTTGAATGTTCACATCTCTTCAGTAAAAAAGATTACTGGAATATAAAAAATAATAAATTAATTCTATTAATAATTGTAGTATTTCCTGTGCAGAACTCACTCCCAACAAATATAGTTGTAGCTTGGAGACTCCAAATTTCAGCATCCATACAAAGGCCAAAACACTTCTAATATTATTTCTTTAAAACTACTACCCTACCTGCTGTTCTTTCAGTGATATATATACACAAATAGACTGGCAATAAGGGCATTTCTATTCAGAGAGGAAGAGAACTCAACTGCACAAATCTCCGTTTTCTAGAAACGCTTACAGTCTGCTTGTCTCCAGCTGAGGTAGTCCTTTAAATTTTGGTTACTGGGATACAACACAATTCGTCCATCAAATCCCGGTGGGTACAGAAGTTGCTGGTCCTTAAAGTAATCCTTCCAATAGAAAACGTAACTTGAGGCAAACTGGGAGACCACATGAGTCATGAACTTACTTGCAAACACAAAGCAAAAGGAAAAACAAAGAAATACATCAATATGATTACATATCTGTGATTATCTGAGGTATCAGTAGCGGTAATTCTGGTGGATAAGCAGCATGTCTTAAATAATGGCCTAACAGATCAGCAACAGCATAGATTCTTCTGAACAGGAAGTACTGAGAATCAAGTAAAAGAGCTTTGAAAAGGAAACATTTTGTAAAAAGAATGTTTGTTCTAACAATGTTTGTTTCTAACGTTTGTTTTGATAAAACTTTTTTAAAAACTCTCTATCACTGAACATATTTTCCTGAAAAATCACATGCAAAGAGTTCATGTGAAGAATGTGAACTAATTGTAGTGTATAGACCCAAACACGGCCCTTCTCCTAACCTCTGTGTGTAGATAAAGGCAAATCTAAAGAAGAATTACAGGTGTGGAGAGAGATGTTCAAAACAAGTTCACTTCAGCATTAAAGCGGCTGTTACCTTGCTCTTCTTTTAAACCATCTACTCTTCTTTTTGAAAACAAAACTATATTCATCGCTCTGTCCATAAGCAATAGCAATATCCTCCAATTCTTGCATCACTGTCTGGGCACACTTGGTCATCAGATGAAGAGCACGGTCATCATTTGGCTTTTTGAACTCATGCTGCTCAGAAAACCTTCAAAGCAAAAATGGTTGAATAAGAATCCCTTAAAAAGCTACTAAAAATGCTAATTCATTTATTGATCAAATATTGATTTCCAGTATCCTGTCAATACTGACAGAGAGTTCCCTGCAGGTACGAAAAGCAGTAACAAAAACCCTCTTTTTATATATTCTGGATAACCCATTCTTCTTCCAATCAGTATTCCACCCTAACCAGTCCTTCAAAACAACTGTTTTCCCTATGTTTCTTGGAATAAGAGAATGACAAATGCTATTTTCTGTAAAGTCCCTTTCTCCTACGGGGGCGTCTTTTGGTCCAACAAAGGCAAAATTATCAGTAAACCTGTCAAAACACGAAGGCTTTAGCAGAATGCCAGTGACCAAACCAGAGACCAAATCCCCATCAATCACCTACAATTCGAGACAACTGTGCTCTGTTTATCCAAAGAAAGGCAAATGCCACACAGACGCCGACTCCAAACACAGTCAAATATCCCCGTACACCAGTCGCTGTCCGTCCCCCAGCACACCCAAGGCACTGGTATAACCAGGAGGATCTGCAGCCCCTGCACCAGCAGCATTCACCCAGGTCGGGCAGGGAACAGCCCAGGCCAAGCGCACGGCACCGCTCAGGCTCCCTCCTCTTTCAGGCCGAGGAAACCACCCTCCGCGCC